GCTCCCATATAATTGATGTGGATGTCAGAGATCCCTTATACCTAGCTACAGAAGAAGCTCTTTTTGAAAGCATTCTTGCAAGCATTACAGAAAAACCTAGTAGAAGGCGAAGAATAGTTCAAGTTCTAAGAAAATGGGGTATTTATGGACTAATACCAACAGTTGCTATAGGAGCCATAATAGGTTGTACAATAGGATATATTAATGTAATGCCGGTAGATGTTTTCCTAGACTCTACAGCTACAGGTATTAAAACAACTGCGGAATTGGTTATACAGGAGGCAACTGGAGTTATAGTTGAATTTGGAATGTGTGCGGCCGATACAGCCGATGCAATATTGAATACTCTTCTTGGGAGGGTTACTATGTTAGGAACATTAAATACTGTTATAGAATGTACCGGAAAGGCTGTATTGAATACGGTATCTGTCGTTGCCAACTCCGCACTTGAGGGTGCAAACATGGCTTACTTATATGGTACATTCTACGGTGTAATGCAAATAATTCTCCCATCACTAATAGCTCTTGGAGTTGTGGTCCTTATTTATGCCATAATCTTATATCTACACGAAAAAGGAAACTTAAAATGGTTCCATAGATATAAAAGGAGGTTCATAAACAATATAAAGAAGAAATATAATGAATTCAGAATGTCCAGGAAAAAACAAAGTAGTGAATAAATTATATATCTTAAGTTAACACACAAATAGTGAATAGAATGTATGTCCTAATTTTGAGGTATTCTGAGACATTAGTATCGTTGGTTATGATACACATATATTTACTCATCTTTTATTTGCTTTTCTTTTCCTTTGTTATATTTTTCCACACTTATTATTCGTGTTATTCTGACAGAATAATATGTATCCAGCATAATTTGATTCCCTTTATTAATATTACATGTATTCTTTATAAGTATATACATGATATATTAGCTCCCAGTTCTCATTGTTTGCGTAATATATAATATATAACATATATTTGTTTAAAATATCATTTCTCTTTAACTTGCACATATATGTATATGACAATTTAAAATTTTGTTTTAGTTAATTATTTCCCCTAACTCATTTTATATGGTAAAAAAATTATTTCATTCTTTCGTGTAATATTTAGAGGTAACTCCATTTATTACGTTGTTTCCGTGTTTGCCTTTATTTTAGGAAATTTCTCATTGCCATATTATTTTAAATAGTTTTATTACTAATAACCTAAACTTTAATCATCATGATATATATCAGTGAATTTAAATTTTACCGAATTCAGCATTAAATAATTATGTATATATGGCAATACACCAGGTGTACTCTACTAAACTAATGAAAAATAGGTGAAAGACACATTTTGCCATTACCAATTATCTGGAACGATAGCGGATATAGAAGCAGAAACGGATTTGTGCAACTATTTATAAAAATTATGAAGGTATAATAAGCAACAATTCACATAAAGGTAAATGCCGAAACTGTTACGCATTTACTTCCTATATTGATAAAATGTATCTGAAACATTTTATCGATGGTCATATGTTTATGCGTAGGGGGTTAGGGGTCAAAGATTTAGGGTTCTGGGGTTAGGTTTAGCGTTCAGGGGCTCAGGGCATAGGATTCAGGGTTTAGTGTTAAGGTGTCAAGATTGGGACGGGCAGCATTCTGAATTGATGATTCTCGGTTTCAAGGTCCCAGTTCGGCAGTGTAGGGAGCCCAAAGGGTTTAGGATTTATTGATTTTTTTTCTTTTTTTTTTCTAAAATTGAGTATTACTTGTTTGTTCTTGTTGGGCTTAACTTTCAAATAATGTAACGTTGGTTACGAATCCCTTTGTATGAACAGTGCAGCAATGGCGACTGATATTCATTTCAACTCGGTTATATTTGTGCGTTGTGCGTGATTGCCTTGTGGATGTACTTACCTTCCAAAGGGAATAACCAAGGAGGGCCACGGTGACGGAAGCGACGAACAAAAGGATCGGGGTAGTGGCGGTAAGGACGGTGTTCGTTAGGTCGGGCGATGCCGGACCACCAGAACCGGGGGGAAGGGGTTGCGTGTGGTTCACGTCCGGAGTATTAGATGTTCGGTGTGTTCCATTCGGTGGTACGTATGATCCTGCTACAGTATTTATATCTGGTGTAAGCTCTAATGATACCTTAGGATCACATCCTCTGTTATCAGTTGAGTCGCATTTCCCTGTCCCTGGGTCAGTGGACGAATGCCATGGGGAACCTGGATTGCTTAATCCAAAAGGATCCGTGTCAACATGACCGCTACTCTTGGTACTGTCAGTATCAGTAGGAATGGCACCAGCGAAGACATCAAAGCGGGAGGGACCACCGGATAAAGACTTCCAGAAGTCGTCATCAGAATAAAGATCCGGAACTGTTGACTTCTTACTAATGTTAGATTCCACATTCCCATCTGGACTGGATGCTTTATCATTACCTTTATTGACTGTATCTGGATCTGTGTGTCCGTCACCCGCCGCCTTTTGGACTGTATCAGGAGCTTGTCCGTTGTTGTTAGTGTGGTTATCCCTACCGGGCTGAACAACAGTCACACTGGTGTCAACGGGTACATTAGTAACAATTTCTTCCTGCTTTACATCTGCTGTAGGTTCAGAATTATGACCTGGCGCACTAGTACCTGACATTCGGAAGAACGAAAAGGAAGAACATGGAAGGCAACTGAAGTTTTGTACGGCGTATTGTTGGTGGGTCCCATGGGTTCAGCGGGTGGTTGCCCACGGTTGCTCGTGGTTGGTTGCGCCGTCGTCTCACGGTTGACGGTCGGTAAGGACGGGGGCAGGCGTCGGATGGGGGGGCGATGGGGTAGGAGACGGACGGCGGGGCATGAGACGGACGGGGATGGGAGCACGGGGGCAGGAGACGGACCTGGGGGCATGGTTCACGAGGGTAGGGTGCCACCGCGGGAAAAGACTCTCTCTGTCTCTCGCACAACACACAACACACAACACAGTGTGTGTGTGTCTGTCGACGTCTCTACGTCGACGTGTACCTCTACCTGCCGATACCGGCTGCGGCCGACCGATCGCGCTGCCGCCATCATTCTCATTCGACGTTTGGTTTCTCTCTGCCTCTCTCCGTGTTGTCTCTCCCTCTGTCTCCGGAAATGTTGTTGTTTCTTGGGTTTTTTTGTCTGAGGTCGCCCTTTGCTGAATGTTCGTTAGTCATACCTGGGGGTACTTTTGAAACTTCAGGAGACGTCCCTTCGGATATTCTGATCGTACGGGAACTATCAGGGAGACCCACAGGACCTTTTCCATCGTATTGTTCGGCGTCGTCGCGCGTATGCACACCTTTAGTTTCCTGCGAGTCTGCATTATCGAGGCAAGTAAGGAGTACCTTCACATCCTCTACTTCTTGTGGACACCCGTCACCATTCCCCTGAGGTACCCTACTGGTGGTTTCTGGTTGTGTGCGCACTGTAGAATTCTTACCTGTTGTCTTTTGGTCGCCTGCTGCTGCCTTAGGTCCTGTTGGTCCCGGAGGTCCCGAGGCTGATTCGGATCCGGATGCCTGTGCTTCTTTCTGCCGCGGTGGTGCTGGAGGTGGTGGTTGTTGTCCAGGTCCCGGTCCTGGGCCGACTGCTCCTGGTCGCGTTTCCCCTGCTGCAGGGTCTGATGGTGCGTGTGGTAATACTGGAGACGCAGGTGCTGGTGGTTGCGACCCCCCATTCTCTGCTCCCGATGGATCTGCCCTTGCTACTGATTCTCGCGGTGCCTGTCCGTCGGGCTTCGAGGCTTTCTTCTTCTCTGAGTCTGCGGTCTCTGGCCCCTTACCAGCCTTTGTTGTAGCTGCAATACAAGAGAACGAAATGAAGATGACAGGATGATAAACAACAAAAGGACACAAGTGGTACAGAAAGAAGGGGGCCGGGACGGTGCGGTCCGGTAGCGGCAGAATAGTGTCGAGATGGCAGCAGTACACTTTTATTTGTCGCCGTCATGTCGTCCCTCGTCGTCTCTGCACGGTACGCTCATCTACACTCGTGTACACGCCTCGTCGCCGCTACCGCTGCCGTCGCCGCAGCTCAACGTCAACGAAGTGTGGTGCTGTTCCGCCGCGTGTGCGTAGTGTCCGTATTCGTGCTTTCTCCCATCGGTGTTACCTGTCGGTTCCTTTGATGCTGTAGTGGCCGCCTCATTATCTGCGGGTTGGGCGCTGCCAACTGCAGTATGTGTAGTACCCGTTTCGGACCTGCCCGGTGTTGATGTTGTTGATGATGATGATCCTGATGATGATGATGGGGCCTGTGGTGCCCCCGGTGAGTGTCCGTGTGGTGGTGGAGTGTTCGAAGCGGAGTCCTTGCCCTGCTTCACCGTCTTTATTATATTCTCCATACTTGTTCCCTCTGGGGATTTATCTATTTCCTGCAATATTTCCTTCACTGTGTTCTCTATTTCTGTACCCAGTGCCTCAATTTTTTTAGTCGCTTCTTCCTTTATGTGTTCTGCAGTCTTTGCTGTGTGTACCTTACAATCCTGCCCCAGGACGCCCACATCCCCATCCCTTAACCGCGTTTTATTCCGCTGAAACCACCTGCCCATTATATCCGTCAAAGTCCTTGGTCCTGGTGCCCGGCCTATGTCACCCCCTGGTGCCATATCTGCTTTCTCACATGTAGAATTACGTGCCGCGGTGCCCGTCGTACCCACGAAACCAGATGCTGCGTCGAATGCGCGTTTCCCGCCTGCGGTCTTTACACAGTTCTCTCCCATTATCCTTTTCATAAAGATATTTACCAACATACACCTCATGTAAAGTACCACGCTATCTTCACTATTGTCCCGTGCCCACGAGTTCGTAGTGGTCGTAGTGAATGGAATTCTGTGTTTAAACGATAATGCTTTAAGTGTTAACTCGCATACAGCTTTAGTCTTCGCATCCAGTTTCCCGGCTTCTCCGTCTTCATCGTCGTCCCCCCCACACAATTTCTGTATCATGGGATCATCAACTTGCGTCTCCATGTGCCCCCTAATTTTCTGCCATACTTCCTGCACATTTTGCCAGAAGTTTTCCTGTAAATACAGCATTAATTGCATGCACATGTATGAACTATACTCCTGCTGCTACTTATGCTCTGTATATAATTATCTATACTATTGCACGTCCCATTTATATATATATTTACTCTTCTGATAATATTATAGCAGCCAATAATGCACATACACATTAGCCCTGCGCACAATCCTCAAATGTAGTCTATAATAGTTGTATAATACTGTCCAATTTCCTTTTATTCGGTGATACACATGAACTTACCCTACATGACTTGTCACAACCCTTTACCCCAATATCCCCGGGCTTAATATAATCATTCCACAATATGTCCAAATACGCCGCCATGAGCTCTCTGTGTTCAGCATATAATATATGACTCCCGCCGGGTCCCACTCAAACTCTACATGAACTGAACGTTACCCATCAGGACCATGCATCCCACCTTGGGTACCTCATTTCCTGCATACCTATAATATGCCTTCTGTACTGTATCCCGAAATAACAGTACTCCTAATACAACTCCGTAACCACAATACTGTCCTTAACAACAAACACCACTTGCAAAACAAGTGCCCCCCGTAACAACAAATACCAGTTTAACCACAAATACCGCCGTTAACAACAAATACCCCCTTCTTCTACACTAAAACCGCAGTATAACAACAACATCAAAGTCTTCTGCCGTCGTTCTTCCTCCCATATAATATATGGGTTCCTTCGGTGCCCGCCCTCTCTCTTTCGTCTCTATTCGGATCCTTCCGCGGCTACTTCGTCGAACCGAGTCACTCGGAGGCAATCTGCTTTTCCCGGCCGCGTTTGCTCGGATAGACAATCCTGCTCCTTCTTACACTCGGCTACAATGCGTTTTACTCGGCCGCGTGTGCGCGGAGAGACAATCTCTCCTCCTTCTTACACTCGGCTACTACGTCGAATCCGTCTTCCACTTGGCCGCGTTGGTCGATGCGTTGCTCGGAGAGACAATGTCTCCTCCTTCTTACACTCTGCTACGTCGCAGAACCCCTTCTTACACTCGACGACAAGCGCTTGTACGAGGTTGTGGCAACGACGGAAGAAGCATTGATGTTGTTGTTATTACTGCGGTTTGGTTGTGTACGCACACCGAGAGACAACGTGTGTGTGCAGGCGTTTCGTGCAGACCGGTGTAGAAAGGGAGTGGGGGGTATTATTCATGACGCGTTGTGTTGTATTTTTCCTATTTGTTCCTTTCTTTTTCCATTGTCTTTCTTTTTCTTTTGCGTTTCTTCCCTGTATTCTATATCTGCAAAGTCCTGTGGACATTTTCTGTTTTAGTACATTCTTCCTTCTATCATTAGGTGCTTTATTTTTTCTGTTTTTATGGAATATTTGATTGCTACCTGCAGAGAGCAGTGAAGAATAAAAGCAGCATTAGGGACTAAACTTGCACGCAAGAGCGAATTCATGTAATATAACAAGAATACGAATAATAGTAATGTATGAGTATTTCCAACGGTACCGTATATTTAAGTGAATAGTAGTAATATGGGATCGGCAGACTTCGCGAAAGCATTGGCGACTTGGTTAATCGCCGCGGGAATTTACGATCAGCACCAGTATGAGGTAGGCACGTACTGGAACAGAAGTGCAGAACGCGGGAGTTCAGTGCTAGGGTTTTATTGGTATAAGAGACAATGAATCGAAGCGGGGCACATAACATTCACGTACACATGCGCATGTATATATTTCCTGTGTTTCTCTTACATTGTAGGAAGCAGTGTGGAACAAGACCAAGGATGTAATGGACGAATTTGTGGACTACATGGATGACGGGTTTATACTAGAGTATGGAACGGCCTGTGGTAACGCAGCATGGGTGAGCAGCAAATACCCCACAACTCCGATATATGGACACACGGTGGGGGACACAATTGTATGCGTACTTATGGTAGGCGCATTATTTTTCATGAATTGGGGGACTAGGCAAGCACAGGCCAAAGTTACGGACGATGCAACCAATGACAGCATCGGGAAGCACATAAAATGCATAATAGTGCATATGTTTAGTCAAGTATTAAACGAAACCGTGTGTCCAAGTGAGCGGGGCACATTTTATGCATGGCACATAATGGAACAAATGGGAAGAGAAGGCAATCTTCCTGAAGGTTTGATAAAGAAAGAGAAATGTGGTAAGCACATATTTGCGCATGGGAAAATCGGGGCACTTGAGTTAGATGAAAACGTCCGTCAATGGTTACGCGAACATGGCAAACTAAAAGAGGCAATACAGAAAGTGAAGGGGACTGAAGCATGCAAAACAGTATGGCAGAAGCACTGGAAACTAGAGGACATCCTGGGGACTGAGCATATAGAGGATACGAAAGCGCTGGAGGTTGTTGAGATAGTGAAGGAGTTGAAGGAAGGAATGAACGAACTATTTACGGAAATCGCGCCAACCCTGCAGAAAACCCTGGTAGAAGGAGCACGAGCACAGAAGGAAAAGTTAGGTAAGGCCGGGCAGCTTGGGGCAGACTGAGACAGCTTCGAACGCAACAGGACGGATAAGCACACACACGAACACTACAGACAGTTTCGAAGTACAAGGGAAAGTGCAATGCGAAACAAGATGCAGATATGTGAACACCGTTCATTCCTGTATCCTTGCAACAACACAAAACGTGCATACTGCCACTTATAATTTCTATTTGTTCCTTTATTGCAGCGAACGATGGCAAAAATGCGGAGGCTGCCACCACCAACGCGGCGAACACACCACCACAGGAAACGACAGGTAAGGACCGATGGGAGAACGCACGAATAGGCGGCCGAACACGAACACGGCTCGATACGGCCGCCCCGCCTACGCGGCCCATACGACTCTGCACGTATGGATGCGCATGCCACAACAACACGCACACGCGGGGGGGAACAACACAACAGCACAACAGCACCCCTTCGTTGACGTTGAGCGGCGGTCACGACGGCCCTCGTGTAGGCGAGGTGTGCGCGGCGGTGAGGCAACGGACGACGCATGGAGCGGGACGGCGGACGAGATGACGGCAACAAATAAAAGTTGTACTGCTACCATCGAGCCATCCCAGTTCACCGCGTGCGCAGTCCACCTCACCGTACGCTTGCTGCTGTGTCACCCAGTCCACCGAGGCTACCTCGGCCCACTGCATCGACCCATGCATCGAGCCGGACCCTACACTGCCGTTACCTGACCCAACCGTCGCGGCCCGTTCTTTCTGTACTACTTGTGTCCTTTTTTTATAATCTACCCTCTTTTCTTCCTTCTCCTGTTTTCAGCAGAGGAAGCCAAGAAGAAAACCGAGGACGGCAAGAAGTCAACGGAAGGCAGTACTCAGGACGACAGTAGTGAGAAGGCGCAACTACCGGCGGCTCCCTCACCCACAGGGAGATCAGAAACATCTGCTGCGGACGCGCAGGTCCCAACATCACCATCCGTACCACCACCTGCACCACCTCCGCCACCAAGCAGACCATCAACACCATCGACAGAGGACAAGAAAAAAGACATGTCGGAGGGACCTGCACAGACAACGCCCAAGGACAGTGCAGGTAGGGATACCACTAACTGTACTCGTCATGTCACGCAGACATCTTCCACCATGCCTGCAGCCAGTGTGTCCGTGACCTTCATCCAGAAGACTCCTTCGTCCGAGTGTTCAGGTTAGGGACGGCAGAGGAGAAGTTTATTCCTTACATGGTAGCAGGCCATAAAGAAGAGTGTGCACTCTACAATATACGAGTACTTAGGGGGAGGCAAAAAAATGAAAACCACAACAACAAAAACGCAACAACAATTTTCCGGAGAGAGAGGGAGAGACAACACGGAGCGAGCGAGAAACCAAACGTCGAATGAGCGACAGCGACAGAGTAACCGGCAGAGCGATGGGTCGGCCGCGCGATGTAGACGTCGACAGAGACACAGGTAGACACACACTGTGTTGTGTGTTGTGTGTTGTGTTGTGTGGGAGACAGAGAGAGTCTTTTCCCGCGGTGGCACCCTACCCTCGTGAACCATGCCCCCAGGTCCGTCTCCTGCCCCCGTGCTCCCATCCCCGTCCGTCTCATGCCCCGCCGTCCGTCTCCTACCACACCGTCCTCCTGCCATCCGACGCCTGGCTCCATCCCCGTGGCACAAAGGTGCTGACCGAGCATGGCCGACCGTGTAGCCGACGGTGTGGTCCACCATCATCCGGAGTTTCATCGCCTTTACTCTCGTATTTTCCACTCGAATTTACAGGCACAGATGTTAACAGTGACCCCAGTGCCGACGGACCAGGACTTGGGACACCAGCTGCGGCAGAACCAGCAGCGGCACCAGCACCACCGGGTCCACCGGTGGATACACGAGCTGGATCCAGTGAACATGCACCTAACCCAACAACAACATCATCAGAGTCAACACCATCAAAAGGAACAGATACAACAGTAGGAGGACCCGCACCAGGTGAACCCCCTGTTGCCGTCGTCGATGGCGGTAACGATGACCCCCCTCCTCTCAATCCACCCAAACCCAAACCGAACCCGAACCCAAATCAATCGGGTGCAACCGGTAGCAGCCCCGGCGGCGGCAGCAGTACAGAGGATTCATCTAGTCCCGGTTCCCCTGGTCACCAAACCCCTGGTTCCTCAGGTCCAGGTTCTACTGGTACTGGCTCTACGGGGACTCTGCAACCGGGTACCACAGGAGATGGCTCCACAGGTGTCCCAAACCCAGGTTCCTCAGGACCAGGTTCCGCTGGTACTGGAACCACAGGACAAGCTCAACCTGGAGGTAGTCAGCAAGGACCAGGAGCGGCACCAACGGAAGATAATGTAGGTGGTTTAACAAAAACAGAAGACAAGAAAGAACTAATGCATGACCAAGGCACCTCCTGGCCCGGCCTCACATGGGAAGACGTCAAGCCGTACACCCCTGCCATCATTCCCGCGGTGGTTGGTATTGGGGTGATTGCTTTTTTCCTCTGGAAGGTAAGTGTATACGGCAATCAGGGAATCCCGCACGTGCAGGACTAGCATACCTCAGAAACTCCCTACGTGCACCAATATATGATCTTTCTAACCAATATGCCCCTACACCCGTATTCATTCCTTGTATCCTACCGTCCTCACCCTCCTCTTTACCCCCTTTTTCTCTGCTTAGTATTTTGCGCACCTCGCCAAACCACGACGAACATATCGAACCGTTCGTGACGTGCCGTCACCGCCACTCGACGAAGACATATTGGACCATCTACAACGCGGCGACGCTCCGCCACCCGATTACGGGTACACGGTTATGCGCGCACCACGTCGCGATACATTTGCCGACCGCCGCGCACAACGCCCACCACGCGTGCATAAGCGCACGATTATCGAGCTACACTTAGAAGTGTTACACGAATGTGAAGCAACCGAGTGGGAAAGCGTCAAAGAGGACTATTGGAAGATTGTCGTGGAGGAGTTTGCGCAGGAGTTTGCGAAGGATTTGATGCGGGACGAGGACACGTATAACAATATCTTGGGTGTTTCTACCTCAAACCATGGTTTACCAGGCAACAATGTTTCCTCCACTGACTCCAAAGGAACAGATCCATGTCCACCTAATGACTGCGATCCATGGAGTTGTATGGAAAACATACAGTTCGCAACGGACCCTTGTCCACCTAATGCAGATGACCCACATCCCTCGAGTTGTATGCAACCCATACATTTAGCAATGGCCCCTTGTCAACCTAACAAAGACGACCCCGATCCACCCACTGATTCCGACGAACCTGATGCATGGAAGTGTATGGAAACTATACAGTTACCAACGGACCCTTGTCCACCTAACGCAGATGACCCCGATCCATGGAAGTGTATGGAAACCATACAGTTAGCACCGCATCCTTGTCCACCTAACGCAGATGACCCATGGAATTGTATGGAAACTATACAGTTCGCAACGGCCCCTTGTCCACCTAACGCAGATGACCCCGATCCATGGAATTGTATGGAAACTATACAGTTAGAACAACAAGAGACTCCTGCTCTCTTTCCATCCTCTTCCGACCCCGGGAATGAATGCGCGACCCCCGACCACATTAATTGGATCCCTTGGATTCACCGCAACAAACATATTCTGCGGGAGTGCACGGGGCAAACGTGGTTTTTGCAATTAAAAGCGGATTGGACACAATACCTGCGTGCGCACATGGCGACAAACGAGGACAACGTAGTATCCGCGCACAGTGCGTTCGGTGAAGCGGCAACCATGGAAAGGCAGAAACTGCGGTTATGGAAACAATGGGTAGCGCAACAACATCGGCAAGTGCGTATGTATTGTGAGCAGGAGTGGTTCCAACATTTGTTGCATAATGTAGAGGAGAAGACCGTACCGGCAAAAGGCGACGTACCACGAGTAGAAAAACACTTAGAAGTGGAAAACGTAAATGCAGCACAACAGACGCTACGAGTGAGAGATGTACCACGGACGCAACCACTGCATCCACAACTGTACCTCCACAAGCCGCTAAGCACTAAAATATGGATACTGATCCTGGCATTAGTCCTAGAACACTGCGAGCTCGAGAGAAGCATGCAGCAGACGGAGTTATATGTGGATGCTTTATTACAGAACATGTGAACTTAGGACGACGGGGCCTATGCATGCGACATAACGCATGCTAATCGTACACCACTTTTATTTCATTATGTGATAAACATAATATATTTCTACTTTAAATTATTCTATACATTCCTTTTTTTTTTCTGCTCTGTTCTGCTTACTTGTGCTTACTTTTGCCTTGTGTTGTTCTTTTTCTGTGTAGTCCACTTCTATTAATATAACTATGGGGACTGGGTTATAGAGGTTAAATATATATATATACACTATGTGGATTCATATGAATTAGGTAGGAAGTTATTTGTTATGGCGTTGTCAGGCAGTAGGTAGTGTAGTGTACTTTTCCCCCCTTTCTTTGACAGCACCAAGACGGCGGCAGCCGCACGTACAAGCCTTGACGCGAGACACGTTGACGGAGAAGCGTTGACGGAGAATCGTTGACGGGAGAAGCGTTGACGGAAGAGGAGTTGACGGGAGAAGCGTTGACGGGAGAGGCGTTCACGGAAGAAGCGTGACGCAGACGGGGTGACGCAGCGAAGCGTTCACGGAGAACGCGGTGACGGAGAGGCCTTCACGCGAGCGGCGTTGACGGAGAGGCGTTGACGGGAGACGGCGGTGACGGAGAATCGTACACGGAGACGGGGTTGACGGAGACGGGGTTGACGGAGACGCGGTGACGGGACAGGCGTTGGCGGGAGAGGCGTTGACGGGAGACTGCGGTGACGGAGAGGCGTTGACGCAGAACGGGGTGTGTGTATATTTTTGCTTGTTGTTGTTGTTATTGAGCGGTGTGCAGCAGTAGTAGTAGTAGTAGTAATCGTAGTAGTAGTAGTCGTCGTCGTACTTTTTTTAAGAAGCGCAATAAACTGTGTTCAATATGCTCCGCGAAAATGACCAGCACATACTGCCCTTTCTAGGGGCATGGGAGCATTATCTAACGCACAGGCAGATAAAGAACGGACACGAATATTGTGTAAGTTACATTGTACACAAAATTCCTGACGCCGGGCAATAGTGCACCTTGCAGAGCAATATATATACATGGGAATGTGGAAACTGTATGTGTGCGTCGACTATTTATATAAGTGTCGTAACGTACGGCAGGCATGCTCACCACAGATACAGTTCACGGAGACTGCATGCATCTGAAAAGAGCTGTGGTTAAATGCACATGCATTTAAGGGTAGAGGGGAATAACGGATGTACACACGCATACATGGATTCTTCCATCTACAGCCACAATTAATGCGCGAGGTCAAGATTATCTTCCCAGAAGTAACACAGTCCATCAACCAACATAGCGGCAAGAACGCTGGTATTTGTGGAAGTATATATACCGGAGCGGAATCAAATGTGGCTACATGCAAAAGCAGGTGCCATGAAATTGCGAGCGTTATGCTATACATAAAGGGATATAGTTATAAGAATCGTGCATGGACAAAAAGACAGGTGGATCAACGTTGGGGCGATAGGTTTACGGAATATTTACGGTGTACACTGGCCACTGAGGTGTTACTACAGGTCTATGCGAATACTGATGACCACAGGGATGTAATAAAGAAAGTTAAGGAAGAAATGGGGAAACCGGATACTACAGGGAACCAAAAATATGGTACAGGGGTTTGTGAGGACAGGAACTATGGAGAGGCCATATTCGGATTACGTGGTATTGGACCAAGCATAAAGAATCAGCTGGAGCAATGGAAGAGCGGTTTGGTAGGAGGCCACGCAGGAAGTGCACGCGTCACAGGGAAGAAGTGTGCTTGGGCAGAACAGGACGTGGAGGACAGTGAACAGAAGTGCAATGTACAGTCGGGGCAGACACCACACGACTCTGCGCTCATGCAGAGAATAAATCACTGGACAGAAGGTGGTCTCTATCCGCGGGTGAAACAGTTGTTACAGGACATGAAGGCAGGACGCATTCCCGGGGGCAAATGTGACATGGAGAAGAACATTAAGAAGAAGATAGAGGACACGGTGAAGCAAGTGAAGAAAACAGCGGACAAGCGGGATGAAGGCACTGTGCAGGTGACGGCATCGGGAGCAAAAGATACAGCAGGCGCAAAGAGTGCACCGGTTCAAACCGCTGCGAAACCGGCGGCCGGCTCAGAACCACCACCACAACCGGTCAAGCCGGCTACAGCTGTCAAACCAGTAGCGGCGCAACCGGTACCACCGGCAACGACGACGGCATCAGCTGGTGGTGGTTGTAAGGCTGGTTCTGCCGCAGGAGGGCAGCAGGAGACGGGGAAGAAGACCAAAGCAGACGATTGTTTAGGAGACAAAATACTGGAGTCCACGCCCAAGGAAGTCTACGTGGCGTATCAGTATACTGTAAGCAAAAGTAAACAAAGAATGGAAAAGGAAAAAAGAGGAATAGAAGGAAAGCATAATTTATTCATAAGGTTGCATGAATATGTGCAGGTATTTATGCCCCCCTGGGCACACAATGTACGTGGAATGTGCACATCACTATTTTTGTGATTTGCATGTGCCAACTGCAGGATGAACACTGGAACAAGGTGCAGTCAGTGCTGCGGGAGTTTATTGAGTATTTGGGGGACAAGAATCAGGACTTTGACGCACACGGTGCTAACTGTGATAATATAGGTTGGAATGATATGGTAGACACTGCATACCATAAGGGACAGAGAGTGGCGGATATGATGAGATGCAGAATCATGTCAGGTGCACTGTGGTTTGCAAATCAATCACAGGGTAAACAACAAAAAGATAAAGAGGTCGCAAGGCTAAGATGTGAGGTGGCCCATGTTTTGGGGCATTTACTAAAAGAGATGTACTGTAAGAACCAGGGAGGACCCAAGAGAGGTATAGAGTATGCATGGGAAACATTTAGGAACATGAAGACTCCTGGCGAAAGTGGACCTCCGATAGTGGGGGGACGCGTTATAGAGGAAACGTGCACAGAGTGTGGGTACGGGGAAAATAAGACGAATATCACAGCCATAAATTTGCGCATATCACAATGGTTACTGCAGGAAGGAAACATAAGTTCTGAAATAGCACAAATGGAACCGGCAATGCCGTGTACAATAAAATGGACAGATTATATTAATGAGGCGGCACAGGGGGAACAGTATATAAAGAAGGGGGCCACAGAAGGGAAAACTATCAAGGAAAGTGTGAGCGACGTAGGGAAGGAGAAGATAAAGGCAGCACAGAAAAAGATGACAGCAGCAGTAGCAGAGGTACTTGAGAAAGCGAAGAAAGAAGTAGAGCAACACGTTCAGAAACAGACAAAAGAAGGTACGAATGGTAATAATACTAGTACAAAGAATACGGGCTCTACCGATAAGACGGCACGCGGATGATACGGATGCCGCCGCCAACAACAACACGCGCACGCGGCGGAACACCACCACCTCGTTAAGCGGAGCACATCGAGTCTCTTCGTTGAGCCGAGATGTGCGGCGACGAGGATGAGTGTAGACGAGGTCTGTGTATGCGGCGACGGCGAGGACGAGTGCGGAGCGTACCGTTAACTTGAGACGAGGTGTGTGGCGCCGATGGAAGCGGGACGGCAGCGGTAGCGGAGAGGATAAGTGTAGAGTGTACGCAATTTATGGATATCAGGGGCTTATATGTGGATACTTTGCTCCACAATATTTGAGAGGCGGATAACGAAGAGGCGGTGTATACGTTGTTCTCGTGACAAGTGCTGTCACTGTAGATGATGTCATAGCGGAGCATGGTGTTTCTACACTGGATACGGTCGTAACGAAGGATAGTGTTGTCGTGGAAATAATTATAACTTCGAAGACATGTCTGATGTTCATCACAAATTGTTTGAGTTAGCAGAAAAATTAAAAAACATTTTATACATTATGAAAGTACTTACTATTGCATATTGGGCTTATGGTAACCATTATATATAGAACACAAAATACGTATGCATTATACACATATAAAAGTGAAGTAGGACATACTCTTTTTTTTCTCTAAAGTTTGTTTGCTTTCTTTTAACACCAAGGCACAACTCATTATATCAACAAACAGTACAACATATGCATACGAAAAACTATGTATATTCGGAAAAATGTACAAACAATATTATAATGTACAAAATGGAACTGCAACATGCACGTTACAAAACTGTGAATGCACTGTATCATACAAAATTTACAGGATATCATACAGAAAAATGTCTGTCTCATACATGTGTAGAATCATACCACAACATTGATGTTGTTTACCAAAAGTAGAATAATGACGGTATTTACGATTCTACGGGCACGGTCAGTGTGTTAGGTGTCTACGGTTTCTCGGATTCTCCTGCCTTTTTAGGTGCGTCCTGCT